GAGCCGTTTATTCCCCAAGGACTTGGGCTCCCCTTTCTCACCGTCCAAAATACGTCCCCGTGAGAAGAGCGATAAACACACTGAGTGAAGAGCCATAAACATTGTCATGAAAATACTACAAAAAATAAAATTAATAATAATTAACTACATTAAAAATGTAACCGCTGACCTTCGTTAGAAGATACAAAAAAACTTTGACTACAATATTAATGTAATTCAGAATAGGTCTCATGTTAAAGAATTTATATTTTATGTAGAAATTAATTATATATTACATAGACAATATTTTCCACAGAGCTGTACAGTGGTAAACTGTACATTTTTTAAAGGTACACTTTGGAACCATAACAACTTAAATCAGAATTAAGTTGTTATAGTGCCAGCTTACCCTTAGGGTTGAAACTATTAATGGACATTTTGAGAGACGGCGTTCAGCTCTGCCCCTCCACATCTGCTTGAGCCACCCCTGAAGCTAAGCCTGCGCCTGGGAACCACTCGCACCATAACAACATTCTTATAAAGTGATTATGGTGCCCCAGAGTGGTTCTGTAACTACAAATCCATATAAGAATATGGAATAATGTTTCACAATTTAAAGGGTTATGATTAACTGTTAGATGTTTCAGCCAATCAGAATGCAAATAATGGTCAGTAGCCAAAATAGCTAAGCTACAGCCATAAAAATATATATATATTCCACAACAGGGTGATGGGCATATCTCTAAAGGGGCCCGATCAGTGCTGTGGGTTTCTAATAGCTAGACTGGGCACCTTTAATGATCCTGGCAGTGCTGGGAGGAATTGAGCTCCCTGGGCAGGGAGAGCCGGAGATAGCCAGCCCCACATCAGCCCCAGCCAGCAGAGTCCACACGCCTGCAGCCAAAAGGTAAGAAACAGGAGGGTGGTTTAAAAAAAAGAAAAAAGAAAAAGAGTGTGCACATGAGTGTATGTGTGTGTGTCTGTGTAGCCATCAGTGTGTGTATCTGTGTGTCTGTAGCCATCAGTGTGTGTATCTGTGTGTCTGTAGCCATCAGTGTGTGGATGTGTGTCTGTAGCCATCAGTGTGTGGATGTGTGTCTGTAGCCATCAGTGTGTGTGTGTGTATCTGTGTGTCTGTAGCCATCAGTGTGTGTATCTGTGTGTCTGTAGCCATCAGTGTGTGGATGTGTGTCTGTAGCCATCAGTGTGTGTGTGTGTGTGTATCTGTGTGTCTGTAGCCATCAGTGCGTGGATGTGTGTCTGTAGCCATCAGTGTGTGTGTGTGTGTGTGTGTGTGTGTGTGTGTGTGTATCTGTAGCCATCAGTGTGTGTGTATCTGTGTGTCTGTAGCCATCAGTGTGTGTATCTATGTAGCTATCAGTGTGTGTATCTGTGTGTCTGTAGCCATCAGTGTGTGTATCTGTGTGTCTGTAGCCATCAGTGTGTGTATCTGTGTGTCTGTAGCCATCAGTGTGTGTATCTGTGTGTCTGTAGCCATCAGTGTGTGTATCTGTGTATCTGTGTAGCTATCAGTGTGTGTATCTGTGTAGCTATCAGTGTGTGTATCTGTGTGTCTGTAGCTATCAGTGTGTGAATCAGTGTGTCTATGTGTGTAGCTATCAGTGTATCTGTGTGTCTATGTAGCTAACAGTATGTGTGTCTGTGTAGCTAACAGTATGTGTATCTGTGTGTCTGTGTAGCTAACAGTGTGTGTATATGTGTGTGTCTGTGTAGCTATCAGTGTGTGTATATTTCTGTATCTATCAAAGTGTGTATCTCTGTGTTTGTTTGTATCTGGGTGTCAGTGTGCACCTGAGTATGTTTTTGTTGCTGTTTTTTTTACACAGGCTTGTAGTCCTTTGTTCCATTATATTTGATTATTGTATAGCAGTGCTGCAGCTTTTATGTTCATGGTTTTCTAGTAACTGTACTTTTGATTTTTATGTACACTTTTTGTCCACAATCCTTTTCACCATGTGCCCCATTTATTGTTTTTGTTTTAGTTGGGGCTCGATTTAACTGTTTTGATCAGATTGTTACTGTTTGTTTTGGTAACTTTGTTGCAATGTGTATCTTTTCTATTTGGTGCTGCCTGCTTTTTGATCTTTACATACAGACTGCAACAATTATCCGTGTCCATGGTATGTACGTATTTAACTTGCACAGCCTGTCGGATATTTTATTATGTGCATGACCCATTTTCTGTCCTTTGCACTTATTTTTTTAAAGTGTTCTTTTGTGTGTGTGTGTATTTATTGCTGGAGCGCTCACACTATCTTTGTTTCAAGAGATTTTCAACTAAAGTTAATTTTATTTGGTGTGAAGCTGCCCATAGACTTCATTATTTTATGGATTCTGTATTTTTTTTGTTTTTTAATTCTTTATTTTCTGTTGTGCATGGTATAACAGTAGGCTTACTCAGCCACAATAGCAGTCGTAAGCTTATAACAGGCATCATAAACATAACGTGGCACATAATAGTCAGCACAGTTTTTAAGTTTTGGTTGTAGGGAACGATATAAGGTACAAGCTGGGTCTAACATGTCTAGAGGGAATATGGAGGGTAGGCTTAAACTTCTATTTATAACAAGTTGGTTCATAGACATGGAGCTAAAGATAATTACGGTAAGTAGTCTGTGACACATGCTTAAGGTATAGTAGAGGGATAACGTTGAAATACAGGTGTGTAGGACATGCTGATCATCTGAGGACAGGCCATTTCTGCTGTTGGGCACAAGCTTAATCTATTGAGCAAGATAAAACATCCTAGTCTGTGTTGCTTACTTACATTTTTAGGGGTTGTGGAATACAGTTAGTGTTATCGAGCTAATCTGTTTGGACCTGCTCAGTCTAATTTCAGGAGATGCTAAGTGGTGTCTGATATCTGTGATACACTATAATACATGGTGAGAGGCATGCTGAGATCTGCCTTTTTTAGCAAATTGGTGAGGCATTTAACCTAATATATATATTGGCATTACATATGTGCCGCAAGACGATTAATATGGACATTTTATAACACAAAGTCCACCCGTACTACATGCTCTTGTTTAGGGTAGCAGAGCTGGAAAGCCAAAAATAAAATTAAACGTGGTGGGCAGCAGATCAAAAGCCTTGTGTCCCAGAGTGTCCCTCAATTTCCCCCATGTCAGCCTATGCCTTCCGGGGTTACTTTCCAGACCTGTGAGCCGCATGGGAGCTCAGTCGTCGCCGGTCCCGGTCCTGAGAGTCCTGATGCTAGGCTTCCTGGTTTGTGTCCACGGAGACCTGCTGTGTAGCGACTGGATCTGTTCATGTGCGTCGGTCTGGTCCTTCCTGGCTGTGGTGCCTGGCGTTGATTTAGGCTTAGGTGAGGCTGGCTTCAACTTGCCTGGGGCTGCTTTCAGTCGTTGGCTCCTTGTAGGTTTGTGCTTCGATGGTGTGTCGCGCTGTCTCAGGCGCCATTTTCCGGCTTGCATTTGTCGGCTTGTCGTGCCGCTGGACTGTGTGCGAGCAGGCTTCCATAAGTGCTCAATCGGGGTTTGTGCTGCAGCCTGTCGTTCTTCTAACTTGTGCCAGAAGGCCTCAAATAGGACATCTATTCTCTTGAGGCAGTCTGCCTCTCGCATCGTGGTGATTGTCCCCGTGCCGGTCGCCGCCATTTTGGGGTCGGATCGACTCGGCTCGGAGTGCTGCCACCTCGCCCGAGGGTACCCTCCTGGGACCAGGATGACCCCCACCAGTCCATGGGGGGTGGAACGAGGGCCCTTGTGCAAGCTGTTTGCCGTCAGGGATGAAGGGGGAGCGGCCGTCTCTGTGCCACATGCTTGGTGCCGGCGTGTAGCCCCGGTCCTCAGATCCTGGTTGGTTGCCCATTTTGTGGGATTGTGGTCAGTTTCAGGCTTTTAATCAGGAATATTTGCCACCAGAAGCCGGAGCAGCTCTATCCTGCGTCTGCTCGGCTCTGCGGTCAGGCCCCGCCCCGGATTCTGTATTTTTTTTATTTTTTTATTCTTTATTTTATTTGTGCATGGATTAACATTGAGCATGCAGAGCCACGACAGCTGCTGCAAGCAGTTTTATAGCATCACATAGCGTGGCAGATTAAACAGCACAGTTTTTATCTTTTTTCAACATGAAATTAACAAGCTATAAAACATTTGTGGTTTGTGATAGACATGCTGGTCTAAGTGTGTACGTAGTAAAGTTGTTCTCGCTTGGTGGTACATTAAGGTATGTTGCTTTGCGTGTAAGGGAAGATGTTTATAGCTAGGGCAGCATTGCAAGTAGACAGATTCTCGCTTGGTTGACTACATATGTTTTCGTATGACGTGCTGCAGTAAGGTTGTGATGTGTTGCCTGTAGTGTAGCAAGACCTATGCGAGTGTGTGCTAATGGGTGCCGTAGGGTTATTATGCAAAACAAAGTTTACATGCTTAGACAATATATTGCTGGTTCAAGCTTAACATTAGAACTTCGCGTACGCTGGTACAGTGTTAAGGCGGTTTGCTAACTATGCGATAAAACATTTAGGCTACCATAACATGAGTTTGTATATATTAAGTTAACAGAATGAGAATCTCCTGTTTTACACAAATGCAGTGTATAAGCTAGTGTATCTGCAAGAGCAATGCAAAGGACTATTAACAATTCTGTTCTCTCGCTATACTGGTCTCAGCAGCAGGTTTCAGAAAAAGTAAAAATATAGACAACAGTAATTTGCGTCACATTAGTCCTGTAGTTGGTGTAGGCTGCTGGTAAGAGAGAAGGGTAAATTTCCAAGGCGTCCTGTCACTTCAGAACCACAGGGGCAACAGTGTGTTGGCATGCACTAATAATTAGTCCGGTTCTGATGTTAAAGGTGAGTGCCGAGATGTGAACAATAAATTTTAGCTTGTTATCTGAGGGTAAGTCAGGTATAGAGAGGTTACATGCCTAACACTAAGCCTAATATAGATGCCTTGCCTCCGTCTGCTGAGAATATCAGTTTCTGCTTTATGGGCAGGGTTGTCGGCCATAGACCGTGAGGTGCTTGAGGTTCTGTTGTTTCAACCGATGCCCGTTTTGGCAGTCTTGCTTGTGCAGTTGGGTGAGGGTCTCTTCTGGGTTTCCACTCCTGTATGTCGTGAGTGGGGTTTCTGCCTGTTGCGTCTCTTGGGATCTAGCTTCGTTTTTTTTCGGTCTTCGGCACCCCAGGCTTTGTGGGCCGCTGTGTGCAGGCTTATGCTTTGCTGCTCGTTGTTTTCTGTGGTCGCTGAGTGAGAAGCATGTCGGATCTTCTTCTGCGGAGCGGGGTCGTGAGAATTGGCGTCCAGAAGGCCCTGCGCCGTTTCCCGCCTGTTTGAGCCTGGGCTCCAGTTTCGTTTGGAGGCTGCTCTGGAGTTGTGAGGGGGAGTCCATTGTAAGGTACGCCGGGTGGTCGGGCGAATCCACGCCGCCACCGCTCTCATCGCCCTCTGGTAGGGTTGTCTCCTGGCTTTAAGCTTCGCCCAGAGGTGGAATCGTAGCAAGTCCACAAAGTCCTTTGTGTGCTTGGGTGGTGCAATGCTCATGTGCTTGGCTTGGGGCCGCGTCGCCATCTTGGCCGGGCCCTGCGGATTTCGTTTGCTTAGCAAGTTCGCTGCTTGTTCACGTGCGCTTGTGGGGGTAATCGTCCCCAGCGAGGACCGGGATGTCCCCCTCCGGTCCAAAGGGGGGGTAGCAGGGCTGCTTTGGGCTGTTGTGTAGGAGCTTGTACCGTGCAGGGCGGTCGACTGTCCTCCGTGGGCCTTACGCTCTGCGCTAGGTTAGGCCGCATGGCCTGTTGCAGCTTTTCCGCGGCGTATCGGTGCCGGGTTTGTATCATTGTGCGCTGGGTGCTGTCATGCGTCCGCTCCCGATCACCTTTTGCTGCTTATGCTGTCCTGTCAGTTGGTATATTTGCTTTTGGGCCTGTGATTGCAGGAGCTCCTAAAAAGTGCGTCTGGCCATCTTCGCTGTCAGGCCCCGCCCCCCGGATTCTGTATTTTTAACCCATATATTTTCTTTATATTTTCATTTTATGTGTATCTGTGTGTGTGTCTGTATGTATCTGTGTCAGTGTACACCTGAGTGCATGTGTATCTGTGTGTGTGTGTATCTGTCAATATGTGTCTGTTTGTATCTGGGCGTCAGTGTGCATGTGAGTGTATGTGTGTCACTGTGTGTCTGTGTATTTGCATGTCAGTCAGTGTGCGTATGCATATCTCCTATGTGGGTATGTATATCTGAATGTATGTGTGTGTGTGTGTGTGTGTGTGTGTGTGTGTGTATGTGTCTGTAGGTATGTGTGTGTCAGTTTGCACCTGAGTGTGTATCTGTGTGTGTGTGTGTGTGTGTGTGTGTCTTTTTGTATCTGGGTGTCTATATATTTGCATGTATGCCAGTTTGTGGGTCTGTATCTCATATGCGTGTACGTGTATCAGTGTCAGTGTGTGTGTGTCTGTATCTGTGTCAGTTTGCACCTGTGTGTGTCTATGTATCTGTGTGTATCTTAGTGTATGCCAGTGTGCACCTTAGTGTATGTGTGTAAGTATGTGTCAATGTGTGTGTCTGTCTATTTGCTTGCATGGCAGTGTGTGTATCTGTAGGTGTGTGTATACACTATACAAATGCACACCTGCAAACACCAACATTCACATACACACATACCCCATACAAAAATATGCTGACATTCAAACACATATACACCGCCGAGTGCTAAATAAAGCCCTGCAAATTGTAGATCCCCAGCTAGCAAAGCATTTTGGGACTTGTACAACAGACGCGGATCTACATTTTGACACAAACACACACACACACACACACACACTCAGCCTCCTTGTGGGAAGATTCAGGGGTGGGTTCTGTGGGCAGACTCGTGGGTGGGTTTTTCTGATGGCAGCCATGCACACTGTACCTCAGATGAAGCATTATTACCAACATTTTTATAATTATGAAGATTAATATGGAGCTATGTATTTTGCAATACAGTCCTTCTCTCCACTTACCGACCAGGTTCCGTTCTTATGACCCGGTCGTAAAACGAATTGGTCGGTAAGTGAGGATGCGTTGGCGAGCATGTGGGGAATTTTCCCCAGAACATAGACCAGTTCACTAGCGCAGGGAATCGCTGAAATCTATGTTTGGGGAAAATTCACCAAACATAGACCAGCTCTCTAAAGTGTAGAATCCCCTGCGAGAGCTGGTCGTAAGTGCGAGCTGTCAAAACAGGTAGGCCATAAAGTGAGGACCACCTGTACGAATATTTACTTCTATTGATGTTTGTGTACTTGCTAAAAGCTTTCTTGGAATTACTTTGAATTTGTGCTAGCGAATCCATTAAATATTTCAAGCGGTTTGAAAGATGACACCATATTTACTCTTTACTACAGAGCCTCAGCGGTGAAATGGTATTTATTTATTCATTTTCTTTTAAATTGTATGCATGCTGTACTCTCTCGTGTGAACAGTTTAGTAGATCATACACACTAGATAATTAATGCACACACACACACACACTATTATGTGGCCACGATATTGATAAACCGTGAGCACCATAAACCGTGCATTAACTAAATCGTGGGCAGCATGGCCAGTGCTTCAGTGAGCACCTACCTCGCTCGCCCTGATACTTCGGCCTGCTCCACATAGGCGTGCACCCGAAAGCACAAACACATGCCGCGTGTATATGCATGTATGTATACACACATACATACATACACAAATACACTCTTACATACATACATACACAAATACACTCTTGCATACATACATACATACATAAACAGAACCGCAAGGGAAGGTGAACCAAGTGTCTTAAAGACAAAGCGACACTCGCACCTTCCTATTGCGAATTGCCGGCCCCGCAGCCCCTGCATAATGGCGGCATAACATCTTTTTTAAATAGCATAGCAGCAGTGCAGCACGAAGCCTCCATTTTGAGGCTTGATTAGGCTGGGTGTGCTGAAGCACACCCCATGCGCGCCCAGGCATACCCCGTGCGCATGCCTATGCTGCTCCAGTCATTGCCTTAATGCCAACATGGTTGTAGAGCTGCGGCCCCTCTAATGAAGTCATGTTGGAGCCCTTGAATGGACCAGAAGAGGTTGATGAAACACGGAGAGAGGAAGGTGCTTACTGAAGTTACTGGAATGTTTTAAATTTCAGTTCCTTTACATTTCAGTGAAGATTCAAAATAATAAGGTGAAACGTGCAGGAAGTACATGGAAGTTACATTACCTTTTTAGGTTGGAGAGATTAGATATTTGTCAAGTCTTTACACATTTTGGGTTGAAAGGGTTCAGTCCAGAGTAAACACCGGACATTTGATTCTATCCACTATGTCTGGTTTTTCGCTCCATAGTTTGTGGGATTTATTTGCAAAATTTACAAAATCTTAAGCAAGAAACACAGGCATCTGCAGACAAATTAAAATGTAATAATTATGTGAATTAGTGACATTTCCCAACAACATTACAAATACCGGTAGAACATTTACCAGATAATAACAATTTAGAAAAATCTAGTGCAGTTCGATGAAAACCCAGATTTGATTTGATAAATTCAGATTAGAATGAGATGGAGTAATTAGTTACATAAAAAGTTGTTCGTTCTCCAAACCTAATTTCCAATTATAAAATTCACTGAAAGCTTTAAAAAATTGGACACTGTAGACATTATAATAATTTAATCTCAATAAAGTGGTTATAATGCCTGGAGTCCCCTGGCGCTGTCCCTTCATTCATTGTTAAACCATTTTCAAGCAGTTTAATACTGAACTAAGGTCTCTGGCCTCCCACAGCCTGGCCCCTACTGGAGATGTGTCTAAGGCAGAGATTACACACTTCCCTCTAGCCATACCAATTCATACCAGCAATAGGCACTGTGATAGGCTGAAAGCAGTCAGCTGACACTCTCAGTCAGTAACAGCCATTCTTGCTAAGACTAATTGCTTCCTCATGAGCTGAAGCAGCACAGAGAGCATTAAGCATTAAAATATTAAAAACAGGTTAACAATGCATGAAAGAATGACACCAGGGGACTCCAGACACTATAACCACTTCAATGATATGAAGCCTTTACAATACTTACAGTGTCCCTTTAAGTAAATGAAATGAAACATTGAATTATTTTGAATAACAAAGTATGATTATGCGAGAACCAGAAATGGATATTGAGGAAAATCTACATTGAAAAATGTGTGGTTCTTTATCTCCACTGTGCTTCTTTCATTTGGAATCCAATGAGTTATATTTGTAGATTGACATGATACTAACCATACCGACCAAACAATGGAAAATTAAAATGTATTTAACATTTTAAACAGCTTTTTCTCTATCAAGTATATGAATTTCAAGGGACGGACATTATTGTGAAGAGTTTGCCTCCGCCTGGCTGTTTAAGTGCAAAAAAAAATATGTATTTTTAAAGGGACACTCCAGGCACCCAAACCACTTCTGCCCATTGGAGTAGTTTGGGTGCCAACTCCCACTACCCTTAACCCTGCAACTGTAAATATTGCAGTTTTTATAAACTGCAATAATTACCTTGCAGGGTTAAGTTCTCCTCTAGTGGCTGTCTACCAGATAGCCACTAGAGCAGGGGTTCTCAACCCAGTCCTCAGGACCCCCTACCAGTCCAGGATTTGGGGATTACCTGGGTGTGTCTAAGGTGTTTAGAAAAAGGGAAGAAAAAAAAAAACCTTAGACTCTAAGGTGTTATTTTTTTCTTTTTCTAAACACCTTAGACACAACCAGGTAATCCATAAACCCTGGACTGGTAGGGGGTCCTTGAGGGCAAGGTTGAGAAACCCTGCACTAGAGGGACTTCCAGCTTCTTAAAACACGAAAAGTGTTTTAAACGACGCTGGACGTACTCACGCTGTGCATGAGGACTTCCAGCGTTGCCAGAATCCCCATAGGAAAGGTCTAATGCGCACTCGTGGCCATTACCGCACATGCGCATTAGGTCTCCCCCGCCGGCTGACGGCGGGGGAGGAGCGTGGGCGGAGCCTGACCCAGCACCAAGGGACATCGGCGCTGGATTCAGGTAAGTCGCTGAAGGTTTTTAACCCCTTCAGCAACATGGGATGGGGGTGGGAGGGATAGGGGCACTGCAGGAACACTGGAGAGTCCCTTTAAGTCAATTAAAATGCAGTGTTCCATTGCCATGGAAACATACGTAACTACTAATTACCATTTCTATAAAGCTAAAAGTGTTTTTTATGACCTTATTATAATAAAAGTATTTTTAGACCACCTATATCCCTATGGTCAGTCCTTCTACTTTTATTTTTTTGCTACTTTTATCCTGGCTGTTTTTTTACTATTTTAAAAGATCCAGTACTACAAATAAATCCTTGGGTGGGGATTATTCCACTCACGCCTGGTTTATAGAGCAGTGTGGCTGCTCTATACATTGTAAGTACGTTTCATTTTACTTTTTAGCACCATTTTATCTACTGAGAACACTATGGGCTCTCTTCTGTGCTTTTGTCTTTCATAAATCCTGCACTCCATACATCACCAGAAGGATATCCTACATGTGGGGAGTTTAAATACCACTGTATGCTGTTTTACTTAGAGCTGGTTATAGCTCTTTTCACTGTAAGTTGGCACTCTCAGGATTTCAGTGTTTTTCTGTAGCTGCAGGTGTCATACGCTATTGTACCATTGGTCCGTTTTTTCTTTTATGTTTTTTATATGCTGACACATATTTGAGTCGTCGTACAAAGTATTGAAGAATTACCTATTGTCCAGCGATATCCTACATGTGGGGAGTTCCAAATACCACTGAATGCTGTTTTACCTAGAGCTGGGCATAGCTCTATCGATCGTGAGTTGGCATTTCTCTTTTCTGTGTTGTCCGTGACACCATCCCCATACAGTTTTGCACTATTGGTCTTTCTTTGTTTAATTTAGTTTTTCATATCAACCACTGAGGACCTTATCAAGGATCTAAGAAGACCTACCCAAGACCCACCTTGTATT